TTTAAATCGAACTTTTCGTGAGCCCACAAGCCTATTTGGTGAAAAAATGAAATTTCTTTAGAGACCTTTTTTCTTGCAAATTCCAACTCTATGGCGTTCTTCTTGGTCATATGATTCCAACGCAACCTTCCTTCCACTCACTGACCATTGGTGCAATGAGATATTTCACTTTAAACCGAACTTTTCGTGATCCCACAAGCCTATTTGGTGAAAAATGAAATTTCTTTAGAAACCTTTTTTCTTGCAAATTCCAACTCTATGGTGTTCTTCTTGGTCATACGATTCCAACGCAACTTCCCTTCCACTCATTGACCATCGGTGCAATTAAATATTTCAATTTAAACCGAACATTTCGTAAGCTCACAAGCCTATTTTGTGAAAAAATGAAATTTCTTTAGAGACCTTTTATCTTGCAAATTCCAACTCTATGGCGTTCCTCACGGTCAAACGATTCCAACTCAACCTCCCTTCCCCTCATTGGCCATCGGTGCAATGAGATATTTCACTTTAAACCGAACTTTTCGTGAGCCCACAAGCCAATTTGGTGAAAAAATGAACTTTTCGTGAGCCCCCTAAATCAAAGATTGCAAATTGATAGCTATCTGCACACAAGACCAACTGCATCTTCCAACATTGTACTGAAAAGAGGCGTACTAAAGCATGTAAACCAAAACCAATTTCATTACCATCCAATCGAGGCATAAATCATAAGCAAGAGTATTCCAACAAAATCGTTAGAAAACAAAACTTGGAAGAGACTAAGAAATAAACAGAAACAAATCAAGACTTTGTCTCCCCCTAAGATCAAGCATCTATCAATCATTAGCAAGAATTATAGAATAATAGCATAATGGGAGGAAGAAGAAAACAACCAAATAGAAAGATTAGAAAGGGACAGTAATCATATCTCCCCCTCAATTTGCAATTAAGTAAAATGGCAACTAGGAAATTCACCAGTGGTATCCACAACACCAATCTGCAGAAAACTCAGTAGAACTGTTTGAGTTCCTTAAAATAGGCAGACTCAAGCTACAAATAATGAGAACATTTGGGGCTGAAATTCTCTAGGATCAAAATCACAAAAAAAAAATTTAATCAAAGCAAGAGAAGAAAAGCAAACCAAAACATAGAAGGAACAATATCAGCATAGGTTCAAACATTTGTTTTCTTTCAAACCCAAATTTGTTTGAGTAAAGGTTTCCAAAGTCGTGATTGCAAAGGAAAGGCTTGATGACAATTGCTAGCAACATGAGTACATGACTAGGTAAACATCTCAGTAAACCAGCCTTGCTGTTATGATTAGAACTATTAGGCTTAAAATTACTCTTGTTCTGGTCATAATGATGCATGTTATGTCTATGCCGGTGACTGTAATTCCAATTATAATAATTTACTCTCCTGGAAATAGCCGCATGATCGTTGGAATAACTATACACAGTAGAGACCTTTCTGTGATATAATAAATCATGCATGTGATCTATGTCTACAATAGCTAATTCATGTTCCCTCTTTAGCTCAGCTATCCTGATATGATTAAGTTCTATTGTTCTCTTTAGATTAGCTATATCATTATTCTTTAGATCAGAGCACAGGGGCAAAACAGAGTATCGAACAGAGCAGCTAAAAACAGAGCAAAGCACACCAATGAAAATGAAAACACAAAGCAAAAATGAAATAGACACAGGCGATTTAACGAGGTTCCCCAAGCTACGGGTCAGTCCTCGTCCCGGAGATAGCACCTACTATTTTCCGAGAGACTTCTTTTTATATTATTTATTTTTGACCTATCAAGCAGAAAAGAATAACTTGAAATAATAAGAACGATAGAGAAACCCGGATCACAACCCGATCCCTTATAGCCTTGACGATACAGAACCTCTACCTCTGTATTCGTCAATCCCTTTACAAACACAAAGACAAGCCCTATACCACTTTCTTTGGTTACCCAGTTGCGCAAACAGAAGGCTAAACCACAAATATATATATATATATATATGGTGCCTTCTACGGTACCCCGGGTGAAATCCGGGGTACCACATACCTTAAGTACAAAAACGCTATCTAGACCTCGAATTAGCAGGAACTTTGGGCATTATAATATACCCTAACCCTTAATGAGTGAACCCTAGGTCCTAATTATCTAAATCATAAACTATAAACCCTAAGATGGTGCATTGATTTTTTGGCCTATATTTGGACGAATCATAACCGTCGATTATTGTTTCTAATTAAATTGATCTTGGGGTATACGATTTAGAGAATTAAGACCTAGATTTTGATCTTTAAGGGTTAGAGTATAGTATCATGTCCGAAAGATAAATCAATTCAAGTTCTGGATAGCATTTTCTTACTCTTGGTATGCGGTACCCCGGATTTCACCATGGGTACCGTAGCCTTCCCCATATATATATATATATATATATGAAGCTCCTAGTCGTTGCTGCACTTTTTCAAAAGGAAATTCTTCTTTGTTAGGAAATCCGAAATCGAATTTCCACTGATTTTATACCTTCCTTTTCTTTCATTTCTCCATTCCTTTTCCAACTTCCATTTTCAGCGACATTGAATGTGCAATCACTGATTTCGTCCAACATCCTCATCCCAAGGAAAGCATTTTAATTTTTAACACGGTTTAAAAAATGACTTTGTCATTCTGTTGGATATGGATCCATGTAGGTACCATAGATATACCATACCAGAGATACTTGTAACCACACCACACAATTCATTCATTGCCTCATCGATAGACTATGAAAATTGGGAGAAAAAGGTTCTTCATTTTTCTACCTGACGAGTCGATTCTTGTTTTGTCTCATCTTTTATTCTGAGTCAATTTGATTTATTTCCTTCTTAGAGAAACTCGGTATATCCAAGGAATTTATCTCCTTAAGAATAATGTTATGATTTAAGAGATTGACTAGCATCAAAATTTACTAACGCTACGCTTTGCCATTTTTTTTTTTTATCGTTTTGACTTAGTTCCTTTCAAGTCTAGTAAGCATCGATGCCATTAGGGGTGGCAGTTCGGTTATTTTGGTTAGAACCGGTAACCACTCACCCTACCGAAAATCGCCCGAAATAGGCTTCGGTGTCTCGGTTATCTCGGTTATCGGTTAACCGAAGCACTTTTAAGACCAAAAAAATTCCGTCCAACCTCCGATAACCGACCGAAGTTCTGTTAGTTCGGTTACCGGTTAGTGGATAACATGCCAGTTATCGATTTAACCGGCCGGTTAACCGATAACCGGTAACCGAACGACCACCCCTAGATGCCACCGCTTCCATGTACTTAAGCCAAAGTGAATATCTCAACTACTCTATCAATATTCGCATTGCTACTGTGGCTCCTTCTACCCCTTCTGATTTGGTGTCTTGGATTCCGGTAACGGTTTCTCGACATTCCCCTCACTTTGAACCGCTCATCTTGGGCATTAAGCGCCCATATGAAGGTTAATTAGGGTCATGACTTCCCTTTGTTTCTTGTATGGAGTAACCATTTTCCCTTTATATCTCCTATCTCTACACTTTACTGACCCTTGAGATTCAAAGGGCGCCGCTGACACCTTTTGGTGACTGTCGACAGCACATAATCCATTGCCCCTTTTCTTTCTTGTATTGTCTTCTTTTCTTTGTTTCCCTCTTCTTCTCCTGTGTTGTTCGAGTCTTTGGTTGGCTTTTACCTTTCCATTTATGGTTTTCCCTCTTCACAATGGCGAGTTTCTTTCCTCTCCCTCTATGAGTTGAGCTTTTGCCTCTGGATTCGTTTTATTTTCAACTTGTCTCTGCATCCTCTTTCCCTTATCTACCTCCTGATTCACCCTATAAGTCTTGGTGTTTGGACATTTTAGGCCCTCGGCTTGAATGTAGATTGAAGATCATGAAGACAGAAGGTCATCCCTCATGGATCCTTCACCGGCCGCCCTTTCGACATGAGATTCCTCATTGCTTTTGGCGTCAAGAAACTGATGGAGTCTTGTCGGCGAAGATTGGTCGGAGGTGGCTCTTGTTGCTTCCATTACTAGCCTCCGACTAGGTTGGTTTGCTTGAGCTTCCATGCTTGGTTTTTGTCTCGATCCTTCATCCCATGGTTTCTATTAATTGGTGGGAGGAGCTTAGGAGGTGTTTTCTGGTTGCTTCCACCGATGGTGGGGCGCCTTAGGCAAGCATTGTGCAACTAGGGTTTGAGAGTAAGGCTCGTGTTGGGATTCTTGGTTTGCGGACATCAGAGAGGATGAAAAGAGCTTTCAATTTGCGAAGGAGTCTTTCGGATGATGGTGAGAATTAGGGAGACATGGACGTGTAGGAGGCAGAGTTGAGGATTAAAGAGAGGCTTTGTATAATAGGGAGGCTTTTTTACGAGAAACCGAACGGAGGGAAGAGGTTTTCTTTATGGATGACGTGGACAATCTATAATTTTAGGAAATCTTAACTACGTGAAGGGGCCCAAACTTAAAAGCGTGTTAACATTTTTTAAGATATAATTGAATAAAATCTTGAAATCGTAAGTGATAGCAATTCAATCGGTCAATATATTGAAATGTCGATCAAATGTACATGTCAAAATATCATATTGTGTCTCGTAATGATCATCTATCGAGCTCCACATGTCACCAAAAAAACTCTATCGATCTCCACACACACAGAAGGGTGGGGTTGGGAGAAGATGCAGTTTTTATCGGGTCCTTGTTAATAGGAGGGCTACGGGCGACCATTTCTCTTCCTTCCATTTTTGATTGTCGTCTCTCCCTCCATGGAATGGAGCATTTTTGTTACGCATTGGACTTTATTTAGCAAATATTTAATTTGTCAATTATCATGCATGCATTTTGTGGGACTTTCTTTAATTTGTTTTGTGTAATGTTTGGCATAATTTAGTGATTAGCTACTACCTAGGATAACTACTCTTTTATTGTCGGTATCCCCACAAAAATCTCCCCTATTTTTCCTGGAAAGGCAAATGCCAAACACCAGTCTCCTAAACCTAACTAACCAAAACAAACACAAATCAAAACAATCTATCAATCATCCCTCCCAGACAGACATCCTGATTGAGGCAATAGTTGTGCCTGTGAATGCGATGATGCATGCATACATGGATGGGTCTCCATATATCATTAATTAATTCCTCTTTCATAATCTACTTGTCTTTTAAGTAATCTTCTTATCCTAAATGGAAAGGGCTAGAGAGAAATTGCATCACAATTAATTTAACTTTTTTGTAAGAAATTCCCAATCGTCATCGTCATCGTCATCCTTCTCTCACACAGTCACTCACTCTTTTTTTTCTTTCTTTCTCTTCTTCTTCTGTTTCCTTTTATGATCCCAGCTCTTGATCGGTAATGTTATTGCATTTCTGATTATCTCCCGGTTAGTTCTCTTAAAAATATATGATTATATTTATTAATTATCCTTTACTTTTCTTAATTAATAATTTTCTCGATGAAATTCAATTTTTCATGTATTGCACCTGCATTGTACGTTCCAGCATACACGGTATAATTTCATGTGTGTATGCATGAAGGTAAATAGTTAGATTAATGATGAGGGTATACTTTAGTTGCATCCATATTCCATACTAATTAATTCATTCTATCAGGGCCCGGTATATGCCTATACTATATACGTATACCAAATAATTAAGTATTATGCATACATATACTATAAATGTATATTTGATGAGTACATATTTGTTCATCATGATTATGACCAGTGTAGTGAAATTGATTCCCTAGTTTGGAGAGCATATCTCATACGTGCTTGTATGAGCATCTTATAAAATACAAAACATATTATGGGTAAGACGAAAGAGGTTTGGAGCATTCTCTCCATCGATTTAATAGATAAATATCAATAAAAAGAAGTCATGACAGGGTATTGAAAAACGAATGGTCACATGTATGCAGGTGATTATTACAACAAAGTCAATAAGTCGCAGAGGCGCCATGTGATTCCAGAAGGATGGATGCAACAACTCCAACCACCGGCAGCTACGACTCCAACCCTAAACACCATCATCAACACTATCACACTACTACTACTGCTGCTGCTGCATTTGCAACAAGAAGTATCGACACCGGCAAATCAAATACACATACTAATAATAATAACAACGCCATCATGCACAACAATATTATGAACAACAATAATCAGCGGTTGCTCGCCTCTACAATAGCAACAAGGCCTCCTACAACCACCACAAGTAGTAGTAGCGGTACTGATGTAAGTACCATCAACAGCCGAAGCGACAACATAGATAGCTCCTCCACCACTAACAGTATTACCAACAACGCATCTTTGAAGCCACACACTGGCGGGGACAGCAGGTGGGACTCCATAAACACTGTGGTCAGCTCCAGAGGCGCCATGGGTCTTAGCAACTTCCGCCTCCTCAAGCGTCTTGGCTACGGTGACATCGGCAGCGTCTACTTGGTAGAGCTTCGTGGCACCACCAGCCACTTCGCCATGAAGGTGATGGACAAGGCCTCCCTAGCCAGTCGCAACAAGCTCCTCCGCGCCCAGACCGAAAGGGAGATCCTTGGACTCCTCGACCATCCTTTCCTCCCAACACTCTACTCCTACTTTGAGACTGACAAGTTCTACTGCCTCGTCATGGAGTTTTGCAGCGGTGGCAACCTTCACTCTCTTCGCCAGAAACAACCCACCAAGTACTTCTCCGAGGATGCTGCCCGCTTCTATGCCTCTGAGGTCCTCCTCGCCCTCGAGTACCTCCACATGCTTGGCATCGTCTACCGTGACCTTAAGCCCGAGAATGTACTTGTCCGAAACGAAGGACACATAATGCTCTCCGACTTTGACCTGTCTCTCCGTTGCTCCGTCAATCCCACCCTTGTCAAATCTTCCTCCGTCAGCGGCGGCTCCTCCTCAGGTACATCAGCCGCCTCAGGTGGACCAGCTGTGCTCGCTGGCAGTGGTGCCGCCAGTGTGGGATCCTCGACCAATGCCTTTGGCAGCGGCGGTGGAGCCATTCTAGACGAGGAGTTCGCTGTCCACGGCTGCATCCAACCCTCCACCTTCTTCCCTCGCTCCATACTCCCTAGCAAAAAGAACCGCAAGTCAAAGTCAGACTTTGGACTCTTTGTGGGTGGGTCCCTCCCGGAGCTCATGGCAGAACCCACCAACGTGAGATCCATGTCCTTCGTCGGGACACACGAGTACCTTGCCCCGGAGATCATACGAGGAGAAGGCCATGGAAGCGCAGTTGACTGGTGGACTTTTGGGATATTCCTCTATGAGCTCCTCCACGGGACCACCCCCTTCAAAGGCTCAGGGAACAAGGCCACTTTGTACAACGTGGTGGGCCAGCCCTTGAGGTTTCCGGACAGCCCACATGTCAGCTATCCAGCCCGGGACCTCATCCGAGGACTCCTTGTGAAAGAGCCACACAAGCGGATTGCCTATAAGCGTGGGGCCACCGAGATCAAGCAGCATCCTTTCTTCGAAGGACTCAACTGGGCTCTCGTCAGGAGCCTTGCCCCTCCACACGTCCCTGAACCCGTCGACTTCTCTCAGTATGCCAACAAAGAGCCGCCCCCGCCACAACCCTCATCATCCTCCGCCATGCCACACCCAACTGCTTCTGCTTTTGCTTCCACAACTGCAGAAAAGAAGACCGCAACCCCAGCACACTCTGATGTCATTGGAGGTGATCACAAGCACAATGAACACTTCAGCCCCACAGACGATGACTCTTCATATATAGATTTTGAATATTTTTGACTTATGACAAATAATTAAATTTTCGTAATTAAATCCCTCATTAATTAAATATTATTTGGGATCCAGGCAAGAAGGACAGGAAGTAAAGCATTTTGGATATGGAATTTTTTGTTAACTAAGGCAAAACTAAAGCTAACAATCAAACAATTAATCTTTTTTTTTGTTCTTTCTATTCTCATTTTCCAAAAAAAAAATCATACATATATAAATGAACTAAGATTGGATTTGAAAAAAAAACATATATGTATGTTTATAAGTGCCGTCCAGTTTGCTTTGTAATACTTTAGCTTAGTGCGAGAGATAACGATAAAGAAACATAAACCAAAGCATCGTCTTCTGTTGGTCATACAAAAACTATAAATGAATATGATTGCAGGCTTGTGAACCATTGTAAAATGTTCGTCTGGGCCCAGAAAGCTTATGGACTTCGAGCCAGTATTAGAACTTTACAAGCAATCGTTCGCTATTGTTGTGTTATGGTCTATCCAGCTACTAGCCTCAACCAGCAGCAAGAGAGTGACACTTAATTTTAGTTTCAGTTTTTATTTCGCATCATGTTTGACCTTTGACTTTAAGCAATGTTATTCTCAAAAGCAAGCTGATCCACCTTATCATATTTGTAGTGGTCAAATTTTGCCTATTTAAATCAGATGATGAATAAGAAACACCGGACACAAGTACTAGGGTTCCATTTTCACCAATCATAAATAAGTGATTTCTTTTGGTGAAATAGAATGGCATGATAAGTCCATAAGAGGCTAGCAATAGCATCATGCTAACCTCATTACTCACCATTCATTTATTTAATTCTAAATTCAATGATATATTTTAATTAGGGATAGTTATGAAATTTAAAAAATTAAGTTAATCTATAATTTAAACTTCATAATAAAAAATAATATAATTTTCTTTATATTACCCTCCTCCACATCTCTCTCTATTTGTCCCCTTTCCTCCCTCACGTCTCTCTCCTCTCCTCTCCCTCTCTCACTTCTCTTTTTTTAATATTAACCTGCTTAAAATTTTGTTAATAAGTTGCAACCATTACATCATCCAGTCAGTTGTTAATGAGCGGGGCCGAGTTGAGTTTTATCTTGTTCATGTTCGGCTTGTTTATAAACGAGTTTAGCCAAGTCGAACACGAGCCAACTCATTTATTAAATCTTGACACGTCATTAAGATCGAAAGTTCGGCACGAGTTCAACTCTAAGATAATGGAAGTGTTTTTATGTTTTGTTAGTAATTCCTTTTTTTTCTATAATGGTATTGGTGTATTTCGAAGTGATAGTGGTTGTCTAATGGATTGGTAGTGATTTCATATTTTATTTTTGCAGTGGTATTAGTTGGACGGAACGGAGACAAGAAAACAAAAAATGGAGAAAAAGAAGGGAGGAAAGATATGCCTGGAGATAGAGGTGGCAATTGAATCGGATTGGTGGATTCGTGGATTGGATTGGTGGATCTATGGATTGGTGGATTCATGGATTGGTGGATTGATCCATGAATCCAAATGACATCCAAGGCTTGGACAAAAATGTAAAATTTGAAAAGTTTTGGTACTAAAATGCCATAATGAAAAATTTTAGGTACCAAAATGTAAATTTTCAATGATTTTTTTCGTATAAAAATATAAATTTTAGGTACCAAAATGTAAAATATAAAGAATATAGGTACCAAATCGTAATTTTCCATTTGGATCCATGGATTGATCCATGAATGATGAATCCACCAATCCAATTGGATTTGGATCAAATGGATTGGATTTAAATGGATTAGATGGATAATTTGGTGAATGGATTGGATTGGATTGGATTCATGAATTTGGATCCTAATTGCCACCTCTACCTGGAGATAGCAAGAGTGAGAGAAATTAGAAAATTATAATTAATATATTTTTATAATTTAGTAAAATATAATTATTCAAAAAGATAATTGATTAAATATTTTTAACCATGGTGGTTATATACTACTCTATAGTAATCACCGCTCCCGATATATACTACATGCGCCTCTCTTGATGATCGCCGCCAACTTGGCGCTGTCCTACCATCCGCTGCTGCATGGGCTTCGACTCGTACAAGGAATCCTGTAAATGATGATGATGATGGTTCATGTGAATCTGCACTTGATCATGCATATGAATCTGATCCTCGTCGTCATCAACATCGCAATCCTCCTCCTCCTCGTCCGTTACACCGCCGGCCTGCTGCTGCTTCTGCCCGCGATTCCCGTCCGTCGCCGGTTCTTGCAACCGGAGATCCTCAGCCGACGACCACATCATCAAGGACAACCGGCTATTACTGCTGTCAGTGTTGGTGTAAGGGTTGTGGCGCTTATTGTTGTTGTTGTTGTTGGAGCCAAGGCAAAGTGCAGCAGCGTCGACATGTACGTTATTATTGGGTACGTTGGAAGAATGCATCATCAAGGGCAATGGCAAGGCTGTTGAATCAATGCTGGTGCCGTAGATGTTGAGGTCTTGCACTGGCGGAAAGTTGAGCGCTGCTGCTTGTCCTATGTCCTTCATTCCCACCACCATCTCAACATTAATGTTGTTGGTGTTATTACTATTGTGCAAGTGATGTTCGTGGTGGAGATGATGAGAATCCCCGTGAATGCCAGCTGGCCCACCACCGCCACTTGCGGCTTTGGCCGTCATTGTTGGGTTAGTAGGGGCACTACTGTAGGGCTGATGATGTTCGCCGGCGGCCAGGGTCTGACAGGCTTTCTCCAGCATGCTTTGCATGTATTTGCCTTGCGCCTCTATCCTCAATTGCAGGTGCCTTTGTACCTGCACCATATATTTGCATTAACAATTTTCATATGCACCATTGCACCAATTAGTTAAGTAGCATGTCCATATAACTAACTACAAGGTTAATTAGTTGGGGTTGTATTACTTGTATGTAATGATGGGGAGGGAGGAGAGTTAAGTACCTCCAGTTGTTCATGCAGTCGTCTCTGGACTTCCATTTGCATCCTAATCCCATCAACCACGTTTGAGTTACTATTGTTCATATGCATCGCCAAGTTCCAATACCCCCAAAAGAAGGAGAAGAAAATGAGATTTAAGAACAAAACCCAATCCCCCAAGTCCCCATAAAAAGAAGAAAATAAAGTAAGAAAATAAAATCTAGATCTAGATACTTTCTACAATCATGATCATCGTCAACACCCTTTTGAGGGTCATAATTGATATAGGCTTGACCGCTTTAGCTACTTAATCAATTAAAACATGAAATACAAGAGCTTCATTTTCAAAGAATTTTCCCATATATAATCAATAATCACTTACTCGTTCATATTGCGACCCATCATTCCCGATGAAGAAGATAAATTTCGCTGAAGATCTACTGCGGAAGCTGCTGCATGCATGTGCAAATTCAAGCAAGGAAATTAATGAAGATTAATTATGCACAATTAATTAATATATTTAATTGAGATTTTAGGTGGCTGAACATTTAGATTATGTATAGGACTGACCATCCTTAATAGAGTGATCATTGAGCTCCTTGTGAGGTTGCTTCCCAAGCCTAAATTTCTGCACGAAGGCATCCCACCCATCATCATATAAAATCAATGGAATTAGTTTCAGGAAATCTTCCCAAACTAGAAAATTGTAATCGATCGGTAATGAAAAATTCCGCACATATGATAGAATTAGTAGTACATGTTGTTAGAAGTTTGGTTGAATACTGTGGTGGAGTAAAAAACACAAACTAGGGGCTAAAATCAAATTGGATAATTACAATTTGCTAAATAGACTTCTAACACATGCAACCGAAAAGTTTGGTTGCATTGCATACTATGGTGGAGTAAAAAAACGTAAACTAGGGGTTAAAATCCCTATACTCGAGAAACTCGAATCATTGATCATTGGGAAGGGGTTGGAGTCTTAACACCTAATCTATTTTTGAAATTTTTACAAATTTAACACTAAGATTTATCTAAATTTGAAAGTTAGGGGACGCTTATACCCTTGAATTCAACGTGATTTCCCCACTAACTCCATAAATATATATATGAAGAAAATCTCCCGAAAACTTTGACAGGAAGCAAATTAGAAGCTAAGATGACGAAGAAAGGAAAGAAAGAAGAAAGAAAATAGAGGGGCCGGGAGTTAGATGAATAATGAAGGAACGCACCTGAAGATGGCTTTTGAGATGGTAAAGGGTAAGACCCTTCACACCCATGACCCTCATGATCGTCTTTGGAGTCGCCTCTGCAACCAAATTAACATCATCGTTTATATAATTTGTAAGTAAGAAATCGAAGAAGCCCAAGAAAAAGGGATGGGATGAAAGAGTGGTACTGTCGGGGCCTCCGAGCTGGGTGATTGCGTCAACGAAGCGCTCATGGAGCTCCACCGTCCATCGGAGTCGGGGCTTGGGGTCGGTGGTGAGAACCAGGCCTGAGTCTCCCCCTGGCCCTGAAGATGAGGACGACATCCCCCCACCTCCCCCGGTCCTATGATCATGATGATGATGACTATGTTGATTATGAGGATGATGATGCGAAGAATTCATCATCATCCCGCTGTTGCTGCTGCTGTTATTATTAGTATTATTGTGACTGCTGGATGTTGCTGTTGTCGAGGGTTTCTTCACATGACCATGGAACATTCTACTTCTATCTCTTCCTTCCTTCCTTCCTTCCTTCCTTCCTTCCTTCTCTCTCTCCTTCTTGGGTTGCGCAGCCCACACAACCCCGGCCCTGGCTAGCTCCGATCGAGAGAGATTCAGGAACAAATGCGATATTCACACTTGCCTCCTTGATAAAACGGATATGCAAGAGAAGAGAGAGTGCAAATGCAATTCATATAATAATAAAAATGTCCTATTAGCTTGGTGGGGTCGCTTTTCAACCAGCAAGTACGACCGATTGCTCTAGATATGCAAAAATAAGTGAGTTTAGTGTAATATCTAATGAGTGAGTTTTTAGTTAATTATCATCAAGTTTTTTTTTTTTGAATGTTATCCTCCTAGATTATTATAAGGCTAATTACTTGGGGTTCTTATGGATGGATTAATTAGTTTGGTTTTGTTTACAAATTATGCTTTTTTATAACAGATTATAGCTTAATTAAATTATTATGAGTGATACCAGACCAAACAAATCATCCTACATATTTTTTTCCTGATACAAAACTCAGTTAGCATTAATTAACATGCTAGTTAAGCGGATTAGTTTTTTTAGAGTACTTATCTTTCGAGCTTCTTTATTTTTCTACTTTTTCTTTTCCCTGAAGAAAATGGTATATGTAGAATTCGTATATTACTGCTAAAGGGAAATCAAAAGGAGGGAAGGGAGATAAAGAGAAAGGGAACAGAAACCCACAAGGCACAAACTAAACTATACAACAAAACAAAAAAGGCAGCCAGAAGGGTGCTAGCAAGTAGCAACTAGGAATAAATCAATAAATAAATAATGGTGTATGTTCCTAGCTTTTAGGGCCTGGTTGTGCTCATCATCATGACTTACTTACTAGGATGATGACATGATCTCTTGTTGTTACTTACGCACTACCTATACCAAAGTGAGAGTGGGAGAGAGTGAGAGCGATCTATACATGTAGAAATGTTTTTAAGTTGCTGCAGCCCATGAGCCTCCTCGCTCTTTTCCCACCCAAAAAGACGTGCAAGTACAAGACATGAGTAGTAATAGGCATATAGTGGTCAGAAGATCATCTTAGCATTTAGCTACACCACCAAAGTAGAAACTAACATCAAATTAAAGAAGAAGAAGAAGAAGAAGAAGAAGCGAAAGAAAAGAAAAGAAGAGAAAGCATGCAATGCAGCAGAAGGGATCATTAATGTATGGGGCCTGAGAGAGAGGTTGCACTCTGTCTGTCTTTTTCCCTTTTGTGGAAGTGAAGACTGTCCCGTACCTTATGGCGACGACTATGAGACACCACTCCTCCAAGGCATGCAATGCAATGCAATTCTGAATTCCCCATCCCCAAATCTAATAATACTCCTCTTCGATCAATCATTTTACTTTCTGTTTAAATTCTCAATGTATATCTCATTTTGCAAGCATCACATCACATATACGATCCTGTTGCTGGCGTCGAGCGCGAGATGCCTGCTCCTTTTTCTCTTCAGAAATCACCTGCAAATCCTAACTCGCCTTTTTGCAGAGATCAGTGGAGAACGAAATGGAAATGTTGAAAAAGAAACTGTTGCTACAAATTTACAGAGAAACAGAATTGATCGGGCTTATGTGAGATGGGCTCGTTTTACTTGGGCCTAGTAACGTAGCTGTTCTCTGTTAGGTCTGCCTGCACTAGTAGTCTCCTCCACGTAAAGTTGTGCGTTTTGACAACAGCTTTCTTGCTCTAACCTTTGTCCTTGAAGATTCAGTTCCCCTGTTCCTAAAGCAATCACCAAGCTCACTAAACAGAGTCAATCAGAAACGAAATGCAGAAATGAATTGATTAAGCAGGCACAGGCACTTTTACGTGGTTTCCAGAGTTGCATAAAAATGGTCCCCAACTCTGACTACTCCACGGACGAGATATCACTGATATGTGATTCTCGCCAATTCACTATGATTGTTGGCTTTGATGTTCCGATTCAGAGTTACACTCCTAGGTAAGATTAGCCCACCACTCCTGGAAGGAGAATCCCTATGTTCCTCTCTACTCAGCTATCCAGCCACTGTGTGACTCACACACCCTCTAATACACTATCAATCCTGATCTGTGATTAGAGCTACTTTTCTTATCACTCGTTGCTTACAAACTCCCTTTGTACTCTTGAACGAGATGATCACCGAAAAGCTGCTTCTCTTCCTTGACTTTGTGCTTTTTATACTTCACCCAAGCTAGCCGTTAATCTTCCAGTGAGGTAATTCTCCCTTCTTTTGAATTCCTTTCCTTATGTGTTTTTCTTGAGTTGATTCGTTAGCTGTGTCAAATCTGCCACCCTTGCAAATGATCTTTCTTTCCTTCTGCAGAAACTTGCTGTCCACGGCTTCAATTTCTTCTTCTGTGATTGATGACTGGCTTGCTTACAACAGATCCTTGTACGAACTCCCGAGTCCTGACCAATTCGAAAACTTTCCACAAAAATAATAACACATGCTCCAATTTCCCATTCCATTCACTAGAGAGGGCTAGCTACCTAATGTTTCAAACAAGTAGGCAAGCTAAAAGTTATGTTTATCTCTATTGATCACATCTTCCTTCTTTTGGTGACTAAATGACTAATGAGTAGTGATATACTTAACACTCCTAAATTTGCATCAACTTATAACATGACATGTTATTACTGATACAACAATAGTGTAATTAAAAAGCTTGTACATACGTAGGAGAATTAAGAAAAATACTTTCCATCCCGCGCCTTTGGTTTTCAGTATCTATATATTATTACCGTAATACACAAGCGGCCGGCCGATCCATCGAGAGGGGAATAGATGCTTTCTTCTTTCACAATCAAAGTACGTAAGATTCGTCTCCCCATCCCATCCACTCTCCCGCCCGGCCCGGCCCGGCCCCAGATTAGTGTTGCTATATAGTATAGGTATTATTATTACTATGGGTATTAATTAATAATTTTACTCCAGCAGCCAAGTGCAATCTGAACGACTGTCAAAAGGTGGACAACGGTGGTCTTTACATATATAATATATATATAGCATTTCAGGCTCATCAATCCAGTCCAGTTAATTTGAATTTGTCCCAATGACACTTTGACCAAATTTTTCTTTCTAGAATTACGTAGCTCGACACCATATTATTTAGAGACTAATATTAATATACATAAATGTCCCCGGCCAGCTGGCCACGGGGAAATCTGCATGCATGCATGCATGGGATTGGGATCGGCTCCAAGCGGATTGGAGAGGCAGCCTAGCTACTTCCCGCAACTTATTGATCGGTTCCAAATCCGATTTATTTAATTGTTATTTTGTATTCCTATTTATTTATCAGTTGAATTAATTAATTAATTAATTACGAACCCATGATGGCGGACCTAAGGGCTAAGGAAGTAGTAGTACAGCGTAACACAGACAGTTGCCATCTCTGTCCACCTCCTCCTTGGCCCTTGCCCACATCCATCCACATGATACATGTATGTAATTATGAGTATTTTGGCTTCTGCCCCTTCTCAATCCACGCGAGCAAAAAAGAGATGCTGCTATGCTATCCCCTCCTTCTGCATGCTGTATAATGTTTTTCTGCCAGATTTCCCTTCCAATATTTATTTATTCATTTATTTGTTTATATATATATGATAAGGGGAATTTTAATTAATAATGATGCCCAAAAAATTGTGCGCGCTAAGTTAGCTAATTAACTAGGAGATCAAATATAATTAGCAAAAATTGTGGTTTAACTCTTAGTAGGTACTAGGTACGCTATTGTATATGTTAATTAGGAAAAGCGGGTGCTAAGTTTGTTACTTTAATGGGCTTCCGGAAAAAAGAAGCCACGTTAGAAGTTTAGCTTGAAGACCAAGCACCTTTTCCCCCCAAATGCATATATTCCTTTCCTCCGCCAAAGAATGAATATATTCCTCGGCAGCAAGGTGAACTTAAAGGGAGGGAGTGGGGCCCGTAGAAGCCCCATCTTTATGTGATGTCCAGTCCAACCATTCTCTCTCTCTCTCTCTCTCTCTGGTCATGGAACATGGATCGATATGCGACTATGGGTATCTTAATACTATTACATGTTTTGTTTTGTGCAAGAGATGAGTTAGGGTTGGATAAAATAGCTCAGCTGCCTTGAAATAAAAACCAGTTGGTCCATTCAAATATGTGATGGTTACAGGCCCACTCCAACGGAGGAGGCAAGCGCATATATCGTAGCCCAATTTAACGAGCCGCAGCCCAAGCCCATTCAATAAACCTCGGCAGTAAGAAACCAAGTGACCCAACCAACGCAAAGTTTTGAGTACCGGGTTTTTCCCTCACTCGGAATCGGAAAAGAGGCATGCTAATGCCACCAGGCAGCAGGTTATTACACTGTCAAGACTAGAAGAAGATAGAGGTTTGCCTAGTCCTACTTATTTCACAGAGGCCAAGGCCTCCAGGCTCCAACAAAACTTGTGTTCATTGTATCCTACACACATCCATTGGAAGACAACCCAGAAAGAGAAAATATCAAAAGACAAATTACAAGGCTGGTTCAGCTTCAGACAACATACAGTTTCTCACTCTCCCGGACCTTGACCCTGAAAATGCAAAGCTGCCTTTGGGTTGATATTGGCTGCTTCCACAACCCACATTCCAACTGTTCCCTTCCTTTGATGGGTGGTGGGTGCAATGCAATCATTTCCTGTTCATATCTCCCAAGCACACATATTTCATCTGCACACAAGACAAACATTTTTAAACAGGTAGGTAAACGGCTAGCCCCCCCCCCCCCCCCCCCCCCTTTCACTCTTGACATTTCGAGCACTACGTCCAACCTTTTGACAAACCGAAACCTCAAAGAAAAAGAAGAAGAGGGCATGAATACCGGCATGCATGCATGGGCACAACAAACAGAACAATCATTCTCCATTCATGTAAAGAAGATGCAGTGCACCCAGGAACTATTAAAACATCTCAAAGAAAAAGGAAGGAGAGAGAGAAAAGGACACCAAACAAGGCAACTCATTCTTTGCTTTCAAGTGACCATGTGGACATGCATTTGAAGTTTCAAAATCCAGATATTCGCCCAATCCTGTGCTTGAGGGGAAAAAGAGTAGAGATGCAGCATACCTCCAGATATTCGTCCATCCCATACTTGGAACCTTCCCGCCCAAGACCAGATTGTTTCACTCCTCCAAATGGAGCAACCTACATACACTCCCACACAGCAATCAACTCCCCAACGACCATCACACCCCCCATTATCTACCATTTTTATTTCATTGACAGAAGCCTAAGGAAAAACAAACAAATGTGTAGATGATGCCTTACCTCTGTCGAAATTACTCCTTCATTAACACCAACAAGTCCATACTCGAGAGCTTCGGTAACACGCCATGACCGTTGAACATTTGTTGTGAATATATACGCAGCCAATCCTACATTTTCCAACCCCAAACAACAAATGCTATATTAATGTCATTCCACAAGACATTTTGACAAGTCTTGGTCATTGCCACGTCTACACAATTCGCATCACTAATGCAGATGTAGCTCTTTATCTAATCGAGATCCAACAGAGATGCTAATTATCGAACCTGCATTGGTGTCATTAGCAATGCTAATAGCTTCCTCCTCTGTTTTGAACCGCATCAGCGGGGCCACTGGTCCAAATACCTCCTCTCTGAGGGAAAGTCAAGACATTTTTACATAAATAAGTGTATAAAAGAAAAGGGTTGCTCTATGGTGCAACATGGTGGTATGCTAACCATGTGGCTATATTTCACCTTGAGACAATCATGTCACTACTGATATTTCCCAGTACAGTTGGTTCATAGAATGTCCTCCCAAGGCTATGTCTTTTGCCACCAAGAAGAACGTCTGCTCCCTTCAATTATAACAAATTAAAAATGATTCAGCAAAATCATTTTCAGATATCAACTACAGTATCCTAAGCCCATTCAAAAAAAAAAAAACTACAGTATCCTAAGCCATCTAAAGGCATATAACAGGTCATATTGAAAAGGACCCTTTGCTGACCAGTTGGCCAAAATCTAATATTAAGGCCATCTTCACCGAGCACCAAAGGCTCAGTGGGGAAAGATTATACAAGTGTCTAAGCAACCCACTGAAATAAAACTAGAGGTATTGGAACGTGAAACTTTAGGGTACCATGGATCACAGAGTATAATAACAGCAGTAGTAGATAGCTTAACTATATGCAGCATTTTCTTATTGTTTTCCAACATGTTGCACATTCTTAAGGTGGTACCTGCACTATCTAAGTAATATAGTAGTAGGCTGTTTTGCTTCCTGTTCGTCATGTTTCTATTTAGGGTATCCAGATTATATCGAAACCACTTTAGTCTCACTTTGACTGAAACAAGGGAAGTTAATATTGAAACTAAGACAACAAGCAATCAGTTACTTTAGCACCACAAATTCAGTTCAAATTCTTCCCTATATCATTTGAAGTAGGCATTCCGACCTCAATAACTTGAGAAGTTAAATCAATTTTCCAAATTATAAAGTGTATAAAACAGCTTATAGGCAAATAACTGATGCTTCCTTCAAAAAGGAAAAACAAACAAACAGATGATGGAGATAGTGAAATAAGACAAAAGTTAAACAAGGCAAACCTTTGAAACGGCATCTTCTACAAATGATTCAACCTGTCCATGTCAGAACAAGACCAAAGGGAGCACTCCAATTAAGCTATCATATAACCAAGACAGCAAGTAAACAATATATATCAAAAGGAGAGTAACCTTTTCTATTGCAGCATCATTAATCAGTGGACCCTTGATAGAACCTTAGATTAGGGTTCTATCGGGAATTGGGAATTTAGGGATTAAGAACAGAATTAGGGATTTGAGAAGAGAAAGATAGGGAATCGGCCTAGGCCTTTAGAGGGATTGAGAACGAGAATTGAGAGGATTGAGAGAATAGGGTTTTAGGAGATTGTTTCTTAATATTCTTCTTATTGATTATCAATGAAGGACCAATTACATATTTATAGCGAAAGACTAGAAAAACCTAATAGACTATCCTAATATGACTCAATGACTTTTACCATATCTAATAATATCCTAATTATAGTAATAATTATTATTATGATAAATCCCAAGAATTGGGTTTCTATCATCCCCTCCCCCTTCAGACCAACCTTGTCCTCAAGGTTGACCGACTGGACCCATTTCTTCACATTGCCCGTGCATCCGCGCTTTGTCTCCTCCACTCCTTGCGCTTTCTTTTCTTCCAATCATGCTCCATTACTCGAACGAATCCCACTCCAGCAACTACGACTCTCGTTACTTCTTCTCTAACCACGTGGCTCATAACGCAACCACGAGCAAATGACCCTCCACCCTCCTTTTCAAACTCTACTAAGTAAGAATGAGAGAGTTGTTCTCCCTTGAGCCCATCATCTGAGCCCACCAATTCTTTTTCTTTTTCTTTCAAGCCCATTCCATAATCAAGAGATTCCAATAAACAACCATGTTGAAGCCCACTTGAGACTTGCAGAGGCGGCCCAGTCTCCAGCTTCTGCTCGATCTTCTTCTTTCTCAGCCCATTTTGCGGATACACTCGGTCCAAAGCAGACCCGCCAGGCTTCTCCTTCAAAACGAGCGCATGGCCAGGGCTAATGGCTTCGACCCAGCCCACTCCCGCTGACCCACCCAGACCTATGGCCCAGACCACCCAACCCGTCGGGCCCGCTAGCAGTTGCGCGGCGCAACCTAGGGTTGCAAGAGGGGGCAACCCGTCGCCCTTCTCCTCTCCCAAGTTCGGCGACTGCTTCTTCCTCCCTAGCTCGCCTCCCGCCTCCGTCGTTGCGCCTCTCCCCGGCGGCCAGCAGCTCCTCCCACGGTAACGAGGCGAGCTACGCTCTACCCTCGTCGTCGCCATCCCCGCCGGCAGCACCATCTCCTTCCTCGGCGGCGACCTGGTGCTGGAGAGAAGAGCGACGCCACCGCCTCCCTTCGCCAGCAGCTCCGCTGCTACCTCCGACGCCGCCTGCTCGACCGGGAAGAAGGAAGTGTCGCCGCCCTCCTCCAAAGTCACCATCACCCGCTCGTCCTTTGTCATCCGCATCTCCAGCGATGTCGCGCGAGTTACAGTCTTCGTCTTCGTCCCGAAGGATGCTGTTGTAGATCGCGGCATCCCCCGAGTTCCCGATGTCGGCGACTCCTGCTTCTTCTCCCCGCTCAGTGACGAACCCATCAACCATCGCGCCTCCTCTGTTGTCGAAGCGGTCATTGGAGCGAACTTCAATCGCTCGACCGGATCCGCGGCACAAGAACCCAACGCCCTAGTTTCCTGATCCCCGCTCGTCGAACTGCTCCTCAGGCGGAAGGCCCCATCTGCTCCCAGTTTCACCTTCGGCGGCAAATCCTTCTCTATCCTCGGCGGATTCCTCTTCAATGGCGACTGGGTTTCGCCATCACCCCACACATGCAGCTTCCTCCTCCGCGTCGTTTCGAGAAGAGCCGCACCACTAGCCCCCAATTCGATTCGCGAATCCGACACGGCTTGTTGATCTCGCGCGATTCTCTTGTCCGGTGGCTCATTTCGCAGCTCCGACGGACCCACTCCAAGTCGTTTCAATTGGGCTTCGCGGAATGGAAGGGAATGCAGCGCCTGCCAAGAGAGAGAGTTGTCGCCGCCGCCTTCTTTCTTCTTTCCCGTTTCTAGCAACTCTTTCGGCGTCTTCTCCAATGTCGCGGCAATGCTCTCCACGACAGTTGGGGCTTCTACGACCTCGTCGTGAAAGGCAGGGGCTTCCGGATTGGGCTTTCTTGCTGATGCTACCAGCCCTTCTTCCGCGTCGTCCCCAACCGACTGCCGGTCCTGCTCCTGCTGCTCAACGATGGTGATGTTGTTTGGATTGTCAGCGGCGCCAGCTCCACCTACCACAGCCGTCCCGTCGTGGACAGTAGATGCTGCAGCCGCAGGTGGTGATTCAACGGCAGTGACCCTTCTGCGAATTCCGGCTAGGATTCGTGTGAACTCTGCGTCCCACCGCTCCCCTTCGGCCTTCCGCCGCTCCCCTTCGGCCTTCCGCCGCTCCCTTTCGGCCTTCTGCCGCTCCCGTTCTGCATTTTGTTCGGCTATGAGGGCTTTCAGCTTGCAAAGGCGCTCGTGCAACCTGCCATAGTGGTCCCCGACTGAGGGTTGTGACGAACTCAGATTTTCGACCATGGCTCTGATACCAAATGATAGAACCTTAGATTAGGGTTCTATCGGGAATTGGGAATTTAGGGATTAAGAACAGAATTAGGGATTTGAGAAGAGAAAGATAGGGAATCGGCCTAGGCCTTTAGAGGGATTGAGAACGAGAATTGAGAGGATTGAGAGAATAGGGTTTTAGGAGATTGTTTCTTAATATTCTTCTTATTGATTATCAATGAAGGACCAATTACATATTTATAGCGAAAGACTAGAAAAACCTAATAGACTATCCTAATATGACTCAATGACTTTTACCATATCTAATAATATCCTAATTATAGTAATAATTATTATTATGATAAATCCCAAGAATTGGGTTTCTATCAACCCTGTAAGAAATGTAGCAACACATAGATCAATATCTAATATAATTAAAGCTGAATTATTATGAGACTTGCTTTATGAACCTTGTGTCACTACTTATTGTGATCTTCACGAATCAAAGAAACATTGTACAGGAGTATAGGTGCTGCAAACAGTAAAAGTGTGCCATTGTTTAGAGGCCTGTTAGAGCAACTCAGCAAATGCCACCTCTAACAGCTTTCAGCAGGTGAGCAAAGCGAGAATATTAATAGCACACTCATAGCAGACTCATAACATTTTCTAAACATGCCACAAGTGATGAAGGCATACCTGGGATGCACCTTCACTAAAGCCATCACCAACTTGCAAAATCTGAACGGCTTTGGAGAAAGCAGCAGCAAATTTATCATAGATGCCTGGAAAAAAAGGTATACTACATTAGAACAAAACAAAAGGAGCAGCAGATAGTTGAAAAAGGAAAGAAACAGTAGCCAATAAATAAGCCATAGAAATATTCTAGCAGTACCATCTTGTACAAGTATTCTATTCGCACAAACACACGTTTGCCCACTGTTGCGGAACTTTGATCCAAGCTGCAAAGTTATACATATTAATATTCAAATCAAGAATGAAAGAGGACAACAGATGAGGGCACTGGAAATGTAGAAACCCAATGCTGGTAAGATATGGGTGAGGACTATCAGCCCCCATCTGTATGCCTAAACAGACAACTCAGGAGACTTACAGTTCCTTTAACAGCAACATCCAGGTCTGCATCATCAAATATTATACAGGGCGCATTGCCACCAAGTTCCAAGGAGACCTGAGAGAATAAAGCAGAATGAGAACCGGGATTAAATAATTACAAATAACTCAGAAAAAATCAAGTTTAATTATTCTAAGCTTTACCTTCTTGACAGTCCCAGCAGCACCTGCCATCAACTTCTTTCCCACAGCTGTTGACCCAGTGAACGTGATCTTTCTAACCTGGGTGATGCAAACAAAACAACAACAGAATAGTGAGTCACTTCTTTACTCAGTTGCACAAACATTCAAACGGTCAGAGGATAACCATATTAAGGAGCAATACCCGAGTGTTGGCCATCAGCGCATCTCCAATAGCAGGAGCATCTCCCATAACAACATTGAGAACGCCCTAGGGAAATTAAAGAACACCATTATAAACAAATGAATGAGCAGAATTATGAAGTTTTGTTCAGATCAACAACAGAGATCCTGCACCATTGATATTTCATTGCATCTCCAAATACAGAATAAACAAAACTGACTGACGATTAAATAGAAGGGAGCTGACTACTTTATCTTAAGAAACTACGAAAAAAATCAAGCGGAAAGTTCTCTCGGACAAGCAAAAGGTCTATAGTCCTATAGCATGAAGATGCTATTCCAAAATGTAGGGTTATATACTGGGTATATTTGGTTACTTTTGAGGTACCACTGATAATTTGAGAAACTACTGTCTACCCCTTTGTGCCCTACCTAGTGTTGAACTGCATTAAATTTCCATGGTAACTACTTGAAAAACGTACCGGGGGAATTCCAGCTTGAAGAGCCAGCTCAACTGCTGCTAAGGCTGTGAAAGGTGTAAGTTCAGAAGGCTTAATCACTGCTGTGCAGCCACAAGCAAGAGCAGGACCAACCTGAGTATAGAAAGATTTTGAAGTCAATTGTGATCCGGAAAGTGTCTGGTCTTGGAATTGTTCTCTGCAGGCCATAAAGTCTGAGTAGGCTTACCTTCCTAGTAATCATAGCCAAAGGGAAGTTCCAAGGAGTAATTGCTGCAATAACACCAATAGGCTAGCAGGAAAAGAACACAAGTCAATCCTTGCAGTTTGAGGATGTACAGACACAGCTTATAAAAAATCTAGACATCGGAAGTCTCAAGAGACATGTGGAAGCAGGCAAGCAGCGTAGCACTAAAATCAGTTTTGTAGAACAAGAATAGAAGTGGCGCATAAAAACAATATACTGTATCAAGGAAATAATTAGTGCCACCTGCTTAAGGACTAGAATGCGACGATCATTAAGTGTTGGTGGGATAATGTCTCCGTATATACGTTTAGCTTCCTCGGCAAAGTACTCGATGAAACTGGCTCCGTAATTGACCTGTCATTAGTTAAAGCTTTAGGATAACATATTTTGGATAATCTGGGTGACTGATGATTGAACAAAGCCAAGGTGCAAGTCCTGAAAGAAGGAAGAGGTGGGGTGAATGGCATACCTCGCCAATGGCTTCTTTGAGAGGCTTGCCTTGCTCCAAGGTAATTAGTTGCCCAATCTCTTCTTTGTTGGCCATGAGTAGGTCGTACCTAAGGATAAGCAAGGAGGAGGCTGGAATCGTTAGATATGAACATACCACGATTCAAACGAATTTAAGCAAATAAGGGAATTAAAGAGATCGAAGAGAGGGTTACCATTTGCGCAAAAGTTGACTCCTTTCAGTGGCAGTGAGCTTGCTCCAAGCTGCACAGGGAAGTCACATTAGCAGCAATGAAGAAAGCATCCAAGAAATATGAAGGTTGGAAGTCATAGGGAATGGACGGGGACTATACCGGGGAAGGCATCGTAGGCAGAGGAGATAGCATCTTCGGTGTCTTTGCTTCCCATGAATGGAACATCCGCGATCACTTCACCGGTCGACGGATTGTAAACCTGACAATCATCACGCAACAACATTACAACAACAACAACAACAACAACAACGAGTAGAGGAGAAGGGTGAGCGGTGCCGGTGAGTGAATACGGCGACAGCAAATTTCAAAAAAAGAGGGCAGAGGCGGAGAGATGATCGGCATGGGGAAGGAGCGATGATCGGAGGGACATACAGGCATGGTTTTACCATCACGAGCATCAGTCCAATTGGCTCCGATGAGGCCCTTGGTGCGCAGGAGGCCAGCGCTCGTGAGGCGGGCGGCAACACTCTCCGTACTCAGCTGCCACAAGCAAAGCAAACAAACAAACAAACAGAGAGGCGAGAGAGATTGAGATCTGGAGGCGGAGTTGAAGGATAGGAATGGGAAAGGAAATCTGGGTTCAGAGAGTTCATACAGTGCGAGATAGAGGAGCCGCAGCCATGTGCATTGAGACGAACCGGTAAGAAACCGCCACGATTCTTCTGGTACAGGAGGACCTCATGGTTGCGACCGGTGGTGTTGACACTCCCACTGCGACTGCAACTCTCATCCTTTATAATTGAATCAAAGAAGGGAAATAAAAACCCCCCGAAAGGCGAGATTTTGGGTTACGTGTCAACAATCGACACTCTCCTCTCCTCTCCTCCACTCTTCACTCTCCTTGACTTTGAATGTCGACCGTCCCACTTCCTTTGGTTGAGTTAGCAACTTACTGGACTGGATTGGACCGGCGGACGGAGAGTAGTGGTAAGCTAATAGCCGAATCAGCAGGGCAGTCACTTTCTCTTGCTCTCCTTGCTTGCAAACACCTCGGCTTAGATCAACTCTACAGCCATCTTCATCCTCAATTCCTCATTCTTCTTTTTACTTTTATCAGGCACTTGACTCTGTCTCTCACTGAAACAGCGAAAGCAGCCTCGTGTCATATTATTTTTTGTCTGGGCTTTGATTTATCTGCCATATTGGACTGAGCCGAGGAAATTACAATGCCATTTTCCCCTTTGTTTTATCGTAGTCTACGATTGGGGTAGGTGGCCTCGCTCTGCGTTCCTTTCTTTCTTACCAACTTTGTTTTAACCACTAATCGGTATGGCGGTTAGCGGTTAACCAATAATCAACAAATGCATATTGATAACTGAATCGATAAGTCTATCGATTAATTATTTTTTATCAATTTGGTTACCGTTAATTTTTGTGGTTAACCAATAACCACTAAAATACATTCCATGATTCCAACAGGCAAGAAGTATAGTTATACCTAATCAAACCAAATATCAAACCAATAGTTTCAATTTTCTTTCACGAAATATTATTAACCGAAGCAACAACCACTTATCATAAACAAATCATCATCCAATTAAGTTTAACAAGTATTATTTAACATTAATTTTAATCCCAAGCATACCAATGACCAATAGACAATAATACATAGTTCTTAATTTTAAAGACAAATAATCATACAAATAATTCAAAATAATTTAACTATATATCTACATTGTTAACATAAAATAATAATTAGAAGAAATAATATCAATACAATACCATATTTATCGTGATTCCATAATTCAAATCGAAATTCCAATGCATAAAGTAAAACATAATCAAACTTATTTATTCAATTAGCGAGTACCAACTAGCAAGATATCAAACACAAGCATTACAAGATCATCATAATTCATAAACATCAAATAAACAAAGATCACTAGGGTGTGAGTAGGGATGACAACAAAACCCGAACCCACGGGTACCCACCCGACTCAACCCGGTCAACGCGAGTAAAATCCATGTTGACGGGTTTTGGCCTTTGGGCCGGGTTTGGGTTTAAACTCGTTTTTACTATTCACCGGGTTGGATTGGGTTTGGATTTAGATAAATCCGGCCCATGGGTACCCGCCCACACCCATATAATTAATTTTCTCGATATATTTAATATTTTAAGCAACTAATCTTATTTATGTTTGTGGAGACATGTCTAATTATTTCTTTCTAATTATGTAGAATGAAGTTGATGTTATCGAGTGATGAAACTTAATTAAAAGGAAGAAGCTTTCAATTAATCATATTATTTATGGATAATTTGTGATTTGCTTCAATTTTCTTGAGTTTTCTAAATTGGTGTTGAACCATTTGTATAGTTAATTTGTGTTTTGCTTGAATTTTCTAGAATGGTGTTTTATATATGGATAATTTGTATTGAGAGATTGATATTTGATAGGAACTTGTTATTGTAAATTTTCCATGACAAAAACCCGTGGATACCCAGTGGGTTTTACCACGATTTTTTTTTTCACGGATAAACCCATGGATTTGAGTTTGGGTTTGGCAAAACCCAACCCAACCTGACCCATTGTCATCCCTAGGTGTGAGGTTCTCTCTGCCGACTGCAAAGGAGAGTTAGAGAGGGGTGACTTTCGGGTTCTAAATCTTAAACATATTTGAGACTCTTGGTGGAGGCCTGATTGTAATAGAGCGGAATCAGGATGTTTGATTTGGAATTGTGACTTGTGTTGGTTTTGAATCTTGAAACTTTTCCCCTTATCCAAAGTCCAAAACTATGTGGGTATACTAGTAGGCATTTATCGTCTTTCTCATCGATTTAACCACTAAGCAAAATACTGCTAACCGAAACTGAACCAATAAAAAATTATCGATTATCGGTTAACCCCTAACTGCCCTTATCAATTCGGTTATCGATTAAAACTGACAACTACTAACCATTTACCACCCCTAGTATAGACCTTTTTTTACTTATGGAGTGGATAGAATAACAACATCTTAAGTATTGTTACCCTAATAACAAGGAGAAAACAGTAAAATAACAATAATAAAAATAACTAAAAAATAAATGCAAGGCGGTTCTCCTCCCATCCCTAATTCTTCTGGATCTTTCATTGTCCTCGTGCTCATTTCATCCTCCGTCGAAGATACCATTTTTGGATAATTTCTGTCACGTTCCCGTTCTCCACCGCCATCTTCACGGCTCCAAATAGGGTGCATAAGCTAACACTAATTTCTGTCACATTTTGAATCTTGACTTGGCCTTCAAGCTGTATGAGAGTGATCATGAAATTTTGCCGTTGTCAAGCTGAAGCTAACACTAATGACTCTCATTTTTGTAGTGATTCAAGCGACAATGACATATTCCGACCACGTTGGCACTTAAGAGGATTCCGATGATGATTGGCATATTCTGATGGCGATTAGAATATTCAGGCGACCGATGACCAGATTCTAGTGACCGGCGAACAGATTCCAATGACGATGGCCGGATTTCGACGACAAAAATTTGGACGGAAATTAAAAAATTATTCTAAAATTATTTAATTGTTTCATCATTAATTTAATTTTTATTGATTGTTTACACATAATATTTATAATGTTGTATCATTTCATTCATTTTACACTAAAAATCAATCTAAATAATAAAAAGGTATCACAATCCTACCGACTAACTATTCCTTCAATTCAAAACAAAACAGTAGTCCAATTAGCACAAATTTTGGGCCTATATTACCGCGGAACGGCTATGTTTACCACCCTGCGAAGCCCAAATAAGACTTGAGGAACAAATATATTACCGGAACATATTTGGGCCGGGCTGATCTAAGTGGGCAGGCCTGATGAAATGGGTGAACACCAGGAATGAAGATGTGAACTTGTAGGCCAATTATCATCACCACGTTTATGTAGGTTACAGAAGGGAAAATGGAGAAAAGTAGAAAACAAGAGCAGCAACATGAGGTCCAATTGTATACAAAAAACATGAGGTCCAATTTACGGTTTCTTCCGGCTACTATTATCATTATTTGGCAGAGTTGAAGGTAATAAAATTTACGAAATGGATGTTGATGTTAAGAACTTGACTTCATAACTTCTGTATAATATTTTACTAATTTTTTTTTCTAGAAACATGATGCTACATATTGTTGTAACAACTTGACTAAATGTGAGAAGAACTACTAGGCACAGTCAAATAATCTGAATTGTGAAAACAAATTGAGCCAGCTCGTGAATAAGCTCGTTAACTAAACGAGCCGAGCTCGAGCCATACCATGTCGAGTTCGAAAGCTCGCGAACAAGGTCATTTAATGGTTGACATAAAAAAAAGTATTAGAATTCATTGATTTTATGTATTGAAATTGAGATAAATATTGTGTTTTGCTTAGCTACTTGGTACAAGTTTGGATGTACTTTTGTGCTCAATTCTAGGTCAATTTTGAACTATCATGAACATTTTATTAGTTGAACTCGATTTTGGGCTCGTTAAACTTATTTGACGAGCGAGCTCGAGTCGAGCTCGAGCTTTCCTTTTCATAAATGAGCCGAGCTCGAGCTTGCATATTAAAACTCGTGACGAACACAGACCGAGCTCAAGCCTAAAAATATATTAACGAGCCGAGCCCGAACTATGGCAAAACTCAACTCGGCTCGACTCAGATCATTAACAACCCTAATCACGCTAAACAAAGAAAGATAACATGATTTGTTTTGTCCATATCTCGCTGTGAGCGAACTAGTTATAAATAAACAACAAGTTGGATGACGAAATAAAAAGGCAAAATACATTTGTATAGCCATAACTTTCACGTTTGTGACAAATATAGCCATAACTACTCGAAAACACAAGATAGCCAACAAATTGAATGGTCATGTGACAAATCTAGCCATTTCCGTTAGAAACTTTAACGGTGTTAAAAACTACGTCAGTTAGGTTAACGTTAATCTGACTAGGATGCCAAATCATCGCACACATCAGCGACCAGTCATCATATTATTGCCACAATAATTAATTTTGAAATTAAAAAAATCAAAAAATTATTTTTTAAACTTTTCCCCTTTTCTCTCCTGTGCATTCTCCCTCCCAAAAACCCAGATCGAGATCCCTCTTTTGATTACCCAATTTGCCTTTTCCCATCTTCCCAAATCCACAAACCCAGCCTTCATTTCCCCAAAATCCCCCCATCCTTCCGACGCAATCTTCAATCCGTCTCCCCAAACCAGATCCCGGCAACGTTCAGCTGCAACAGAAGTGGCCGTCGACGCGAGCGCCGATAGATCCAGTCGCTCCAAGAGCTCTAGTCGCGGTCCAGCTCCTCGTCGCGTCCGCATCATCACCGTCGAGGACCGGTAGATCCAGTCGTGATCAGCCCGACCAAACCTTCACTCCGGCGACCACGAAAGCTCAGCCATAATAGACCTCCAAGTCGTCGCGTCGACACAAACCCGACCTCCAAATCGAATACGATAAAGGAGAATGAAATAGCAATTGGCCAATAGCCCATCAAAAGTATCAATCAGTGGTTTTTTTTATGGGCTATATCAGTGGTTTTGATGTAGCTGTCGATGATATTAACCCCCTCCGACTTCTCCATGACCACGAGCAAGTGCTCGAAATCGCAGCCATCAGCAGAATCGTCTCCTTCGGGGGCCTGTTGGACTAGTTAGGGTTGGGATTTTTAAGCGAGGACGAAGTCGTACGGGTAGCCAGGCAGTGAACCGAGGCAGGCGGAGTTGAAGGTAGGGAAGTAGCCAAGTAGGCGACGGCGGCTAGGGGTCGGAGAGAGCGGAAGAGGGGGTGAGACCGGTGAGAGGGGGTGAGAGCGGAAGAGGGCAGCGGAAGAAATCCCGATTTATAGAAAAATATTTTTTTGTCTTTTTTTCAAAATTAATATTTTTATTTTATTTTGTGTTAATCCACGTCAGTTAGTGGGGATAGTAAATCGCCATATCAGCTTCTTCCGTTAGTACAGTCAGACCGTCAACTGACACCGTTAACAAAATGGACTGAATTGGTTATTTTGTGTTTTCGAATAGATATGACTATATTTGTCACAAACGTGAAAGTTATGGCTATACAAGTGTATTTTGCCAAATAAAAATATCAGATTGACTCTGGCTGGCTAAATAAACCGAAAAAAGAAGAGGATGGTAGACCTACGCGTCTTCCTTTGATTCTCTCCCCTGCGAAACAACATAGAGAGAAGAAAAGTCAAAGAATTACACCTCTTGCTTCTTCCCCGTTTCCGCCACCCTATTGGATTTCTGATCCTCCAAGGAACTTAGCCATTATTCCATTAACCCATCCCACCCAGTCCCAATCCAAAGACCAAAACCCCCCAATTTGAAACCTAATTAATTAATTAAAAATTGATTATGCATTTTCATGCGTAATAATATAATTTGACAGAGCACAAAATATAAACCAATAATAAAAGAACCCAATCCCCTCTTCCTTCCTTCCCTCATTTCTTCATCGTCGTCTTCGGCTCATCCGTCCTTCTTATTCGAAGTTCCATCCAAACTCACACCCCTAAATACGTGTAGAAAGAAAGACAGAATCGCATAGTGATCTCCACCGCCGGCGGCTCCCCACACTTGGTCTGCTCCCCCGCCGTCCCCGTCTGATGAGCAACGACAACGCCGCCCCTTCCTCCAGTTCCGCTGCTGCCAATGGATCGGCCGATGCTGCTGCTCCCAGGCGCAATTCCAAGCGACCTAAATGTAATTTCTCCCCAAACATCTCTCTCTTCCTCCTTCCCACTTCCTTCACCTTTTTCTTTCTCGATTATTGCTGCTACGGCTACTTCTCCTTCTTGTTGCTTTTCTCTTCTTCTTCTTGGCTTTCATTCCAGCCCTAATTTTAGGCGGTACAGTAACCCGGTCAATCAGCTCAACTCAGGCTTGGATCTTCCTGTTCTTTCAATTTTGTATATGTCTTCTGGAGTAACTTCCCTTCTTCTATCTCCTTCCTTGTATAGCTGCACCAAGTCCTGTGATCTAGTCCCCTAGTCCTAATTTACAGACCGGATGATCGCAAGAGAACTCTCTTAGCACTTGACGTACTCCATCATCTTCTTCAGTTAACATGGATTCGCTTCTTTCATATTTCCTTTCTTGCAGATTCTAAGTTTACACAACAGGAACTTCCTGCTTGCAAACCGATTCTAACGCCAGGATGGGTGATCTCCGCTTTCTTGCTGGTCAGCGTCATCTTCGTCCCAATTGGAGTTGCTTCCTTGTTTGCTTCCAGAGATGTATGACTCCCAATCTTTTTTCCCCGCCCACCTCTTTCATCTCTACTCTCCTTTCTAATGGATCTTATTTCTTCACATCAGGTTGTTGAGGTCGTTGACCGCTATGAAACAGCATGTATTCCTCCTCAAAACAGAACTAACAAGGTTGCGTATATTCAGAGTTCTTCCAATAAAACATGCGTCAGAGTCCTAACTGTAAGCATTTCTAGGAGTTCCCCCGTGATCTAGATGTCCTCCCGATTGACTTGTTCTTTCAGTTTATCCTGTTGCTAAACTCTAACTCCTCATTCTGCTCGGTTTTTCTTCAATCAGGTTCCAAAGCGTATGAAGGCGCCTATTTATATTTACTACGAGCTTGACAACTTCTACCAGAATCACCGCAGGTACTGATAACTTGTTCTTGTCTTTGAAAGATAATAGAATATAGGCAGGGGGAGAAGTGTTTAACAAGAGCTTAAGATCTATTTCTGTCGGAATGAATCACACTAGGTCTATTTCTGAAATGCAAATGCTTCTTCTTGGTAATGTAAAAACACTATCTTTTTCCTATTACAACTCTAGTGAGGGTAAGAGAATGTGGTGCTAGCAGATATCCCTGCATCTTGATGGATACAGGTTGTGTCCGGCAGGAATTTGTGGCTTTGTTGGTAAATTAATTATCTTAGTGCGAAGTATACCGTTATTACCCAAACTAATTATAGTTGCTAACTTGCCATAGCAAGAGTCCTTTATCTCCTGTTTCCACTTATGCCTTCATTTGTTTATTGTTATAGAAGTATACATGGTCTCTGTTTCTAGTTTGGTGTTATCGGTAATGAAGTTCTGTCTTTCAGATATGTGAAGAGCAGAAGCGATCAGCAATTGAAAAGTAACAGTAGTCAGAACGACACAAGTACTTGCAAGCCTGAAGATCTGGTTAATGGAACAGCTATTGTGCCATGTGGTCTTATAGCTTGGAGTTTATTTAATGATACATATAGCTTCTCTCGTGGAAATGAATCGTTGAATGTGAATAAGAAGGACATTTCATGGAAGAGCGACAGAGAACACAAGTTTGGTGACAATGTGTTCCCTAAGAATTTCCAGAGCGGAGGACTCAAAGGTGGTGGGAGTCTCAACGAATCGAAACCGGTAAGCTTTTGGTTTCATTGTTATATAAGACAGAGCTAGAACTCTTTATGGGCCATCCTGCTCGAAGATGTTTTCTTTGCTCAACCCAGTCTTACTAAGATGTTGCTAATTTGTTATTATACCATTCTGTTAACCCTACTCAGCCCATCTTGCTTGTTTTCCAGCGTTTTGGAACTCTGTACCTTTTTTGTGCTTCACTGCTCATGACAGCAGGAATGGCTCGGTCCATTTTGCTGTGTTTTTTTCCCCTTGCTCGTGGTTTTTCTTTTGTCGCCTTTGTGTTTCTGGACGATGGCTGGTTCAGTTCTTGTGAACCTTGCCGCATTCGTTTTCCATGTATTCCGACTTTCCTTTCTTTTCGTTTTAATGCATTTCAATCACCTTTATAAAAAATAAAAATAAAAACTCTACTACCTTATATAAAGAAAAAAAGGATGCGGAATGCTTATCGTCCAATGAAAATAATCCTTGTTAGTCTCTTCCAGAAAAGTGTTTGACTTGTTTGAACTGGGATTACTTTTACAGCTTAGCGAGCAGGAGGATCTCATTGTGTGGATGAGAACTGCAGCTCTACCAACTTTCAGAAAGTTGTATGGGAGGATAGAGGTGGATCTCAACAGAGGTGATACAATAAATGTTACATTGGGCAACCACTACAATACCTACAGTTTCAACGGCAAGAAGAGACTTGTGCTTTCAACAACTAGCTGGCTCGGTGGGAAGAATGACTTTCTCGGCATTGCTTACCTTACAGTTGGAGGGTTATGTCTGTTCTTGGCAGTATGTTTCATCATAGTGTATCTTGTGAAGCCACGGTAAGCTCATTGATGTTGATTGGTAGTTCCCAGAGTACTCCATCCTTGCACAGTGATGTTCTTTTCACTAACTGGGTTTCTGCTCTGCTGATCTTCTACCATGTCTCACTCAGTGTTATGTAGGTAGTTAGTGCATTCCCTGATATGATTTGCATATATGGCTTGTGTTATGTAGGTATTTAGTGCATTCCCTTGTGATATTTGCATATATTTCTTAGGGAAGTTATGCATTGTCCAAGGATTTTCTTCTTTTTAGAAACACATAGGCACCTCCTAATCTTGCCGATATAGCATATCGAGTCTTTTTCATCTAATTGGCGTTTTAGGCGTCTGTATGCCTACTGTCTGCCTTTTGTTTTATCTCGTTTGGCAATGAAAATGAACTAGGAAAGTGATGAAGTGAAACAGCTGGCTGTGTGCATTACTAGGACATGAGTAGCCATAACCTTGTGCCATTTGTATCTGACTAGCAGTGACCGGAAATCTTGTGTTTTGGATAATTTCAGGCGCCTTGGAGACCCCTCTTATCTATCATGGAACAGAAGTCCTGGAGGACGTTAAGAGGAAGAGAGGCGGCACCTTTTGTAGAACGAACCTGATGGGCTAACCCAAATATGCTTGATGTATCCATTTAATGTGTTTGAGAAAGATGTTAAAAGGACAACTTGTTCGGTGTAATATCTTATTTGTTGTGTGAAGACAAGGAATTCATGCATAATTTCTAGGAATAGGGATCATAGAATTTGTTTAGAGCATCCTACGAATCTCGTGTCTTTGCTTCCTGCCTCTTGCCCGACGAGTCTGATACGGAAACACCGCAAAAAGGCGACATGGACCTGTCAACCATATTGAAAACGGAGAAACGGATGCTAGAAATGTTTAAACGAGATAAATTTCACATGAATTGAAATTAGCGATATTGTGAAATATCGCGAGATTTAGTTCAATTGAAAGATAATAAATTATGAATAAACAATGGTATAAGTAGGGGAGCATGTTGCATGTACCTACATTTGTTAAGATAATTAAAGAAACAAACATACAATTTTTTTTTAGATAAGGGTGATATATGTTACTTTTTTTTTTGTTATTAGGTACTACTGAAGGGACTCGAACCTGGGACCTCCAGGTTCATGACTAGTGGTATTACCACTAGACCAATCCCTTGTTCGTAAGAAACAAACATACAATTAGAGAACAAGATCCATAGTGATAGTGGGGCATGAGCCAGGCCACTCCTTCATTTATATATTAAATTTTTGCAAGACAATAGAGGAAACCTTGTTTTAAATGCCTGAACAAATCAAAGATAAGTAATAACTATTTTTCACTTTCAAGTTTCAACTGTTTACAAAATCATGAATCACACATGGGATGATTAAAACCCAGCCTATAAAATGTGATTTACCACTGAATGTCTGAATCTAACAATTAGAGTATTGACCCACTAATAATAATCCCTCTCTTTGCCTCCTTTATTCTCGTAATAATTTGTGTAAAATTCACTTTTCTATATGTCTTATATTCCCAGGACTAATTCATCACCACCAGCCTTAAATAGCTATCCACGCGTCAGTTGTAAACAAATTGGCAACCTTTGTAGCCTGAAAAAAGTGAATCGAAGTGAAACCATCACATTACTGGTTAATCAATCACTAGATTTCATTGTAGAACTGGACAAGGAGTACTGGTAATAGAGTACTCACTAGGATCTACCGTGACGAGGATGGCAGTGCCGCCGAAAGAGCAAGAACCGCCAGCGGACTTGGTTCGCTGCCAGTAGCTGTTGAAAGCGTAGGAAGCGTGGGCAAACACTGTGTCCGGCTGAAAGCACGGCCCGCCAGGCTGTATCGAATCACAGTCGGCACCGGACCCGCATGCGTAGTTCATCGCCTCCTGCATGATCGGATCCGGCACCGAAGGCTTCGCCATGCACCACAATGCTGCCGGAGGCCCCGTCCTTGGAGACGGCGGACCAGTCGGCGGCGGGAAAACCACCGGAGGCATGAAAGCCACGGGCGGGCTCGGTACATCAAATGCAGGAGGGGCAGGGGGTATTTGGGCCTCAGGCGGATATGGGCCAGGAATGGTGTAAGTAGGTGGGCTGGGTATGTTCACAGGTGGGCCTGGAATGATTATTCCTGGAGTAGATGGGCCAGGAAGAATCGGGACAAGTGGGCCCGGGGGGAAGTAGTAGGACGGACCAGGGGGAGCTGGCGGCGGGAGGAGGAAGGCGGGAGCGGCTGGGGTGGGGATGCCGGTGCCGGAATCGGTCGGTGGTGGGAGGAGGAAGGTGGGAGCGGAAGGTGTGGGAACGCCGGTATCGGTGCCTGACGATGGCGGGGGCGGGGGCTGAGCCAGGCCTCCTTGTGGAGGTTCGTTGCAGTAAGGGGGAGCATTCTGAGGAGACAATGAATCGTACGGCGGCAGTGAGAAAGGGGAGCTGACGTACGGCTGCGTGTTGGATGCTCCATCTCCCAGCGTTTCTCTCTGGAGGATCAGGGAAGCAATGTTGAACCGCCCGGTGGCTCTCAGTTTCTTCTCCTTGCCTTCCACTAACCCCGGCGATCTACTTCCATCTGCGCCAATACAATCAAGTCATGCAAGCAAGAGCACAAATTTGCATCAGGAAATCGTCAAAGTCACAGTAGATGATAGGATGAAGACTAGTTCATCATTATTAATTTCCAGTTAGGGAATCTAAAAGTGAATTATTTGGTCGCTGGGTTGCTGCTTATCTTGGAGCTTAAAGAAGTGACGAATTAACGCAGATTACAAGCAGAAATGCAGTTAGAGAGTTGTGAGGAACCAACTTACTGCAGACAGGGAATGAAGAAGAAGCCAAAGCAAAATACACAAGCAAGAGAGGAAGAAAGGCAATGGGCCGTTGATGTGAGCTGCTACTTCTCCTCCTCATCTGGCTTATAGCTTGTAATCAGTAAGAATGTGCTTGGATTGCTTCGTGAATTTGCAGTTAGCATTACTAGGAGGGTTCTATGTTGAATTGCTTTGAGTCATATATGTATGTATGTGTCGACAAGTATATGCATGCAGAGGGTGATTGAAGGAAGCAATTGATGCGGTGGAGGGGACAACTGGTATGCATAAAGATAGATTCATGTGGGCGGCAGCATAGGCATACCTACACATATACTCTTCACTTTTGCTTGTTAGTCGATGTGTGTGCCTCAAGAAAAACCACCCCACCCCCACTGGATATTTATGATGGCTTTATAATTGTCTGCATCAAGTTTCGTTTTGTTCCCTCTCTCTCTTCTAATAAAGCAATAAATGAAAACAATTATCCAATAACCAAATGTGGTCTTGTATGGAAATAATGAGAAAGAAGGAGAAGGGCCGATGAGGTGAGCCATGAGTGAGCATATATGCTTACTTCGCCCTGGCAAAAAAGACATAGCTTGCATCAAAAGTGCTTGTTTCCCATCTACTCCTTTCTCCTTTTCCCTTCCATTTGCTTGCTTTCTACTCAACCCAGGTCTTCTCTCTAATACAGGATTTCTATCCTCATGGATGCATTCCTTAATTTTTATTTTTAACCCTTTATCTTGTCCTTTCAACCCTCATCCTATTCTCAAGTCTAACAAACCATAAACATAACTATATTATTGATGTATTAATTATCAATGTGATTCATTGAGGAATAATAAAGCTATTAAACGTGTTATACGTGTTCAGTATGAGAGGCTTCAAACAAACGGGGAAAATGAGACAGTTCTTAGTTCTTCCATCATAAAGAATTCTGGATCTCAGTACAGATCCTTATTAATCTTCAAATTTCCGGCACAATTTTATTGTTGTTCGGTTATATCAAATTGACAGAAGGACCTTCTAGTTGGAGCTGCCAAGATAGGGGAAACCGTAAACATCAAGAAACGCCAGTTAGTGTCAGAGTTTTCTCCTCTGCTAATCCTCTAATTACATATACGATTAGCCCTATCTCTGTGTTGCTTATTCATATTTTCAGAATATGTGCAGGTCATGGAGACCTCGGATGAAAAGGTTAGACCGGCAGGAAACCCAAATGTGATTGTTTGCGAGAGAGAAAGCATGTTTGGATATAGTAAGTTTGTTTCATTGTTTGTGCTCCATTTCATTCTTGGTGGAATTTGAATGTGGAGTTACATATTGATTAACTTTTAGTACTACAAGGTTGTTATATTTGAGAATATAAACTATCTGGAAACTTCACAGCATTAGTTAACTTAAACTTGTGATGAAATGATGCAAGAGAACTTAAGCAACTCATGACTGATGAATTGGACTCTTTTCAATTGGATCTCTGACTCTTAAATTTTTCATTTATTTGCAGATGACTTGATCGTCGATCCACGCAATCTTGAGAGGATGAGAGAAGCTAACTGCCCTGTTCTAAGTCAATCTAGCTCTAACATTTTGTTATTTTATTCAATTATATGTTGCCAACGTGCCATTGGAATAACTCATCACTGTTGAGGATTCTTCACACAGGTAGCGGATATCACACATTCACTTCAACCGCCAGCTAATAAAAAGGTGTGTATTACTATTACTAGACATATATTTGGTTACACGTTACAGTATGTAAAGCTTAACTGAATGAAATGGACTTTAGGTTCTAAAGTTCAAGCCGTTCATGGTAAGTGCATCTTCCATCTTTGTTGCCCAGTGTACTTTTAAGATGGATCCAGCTTGGACTTCTCTGCTTGCGGAACATGCACGCTAAGATGTTGCCCAGCTCGGGTATTTGCTTAATTCATGAGATTTGTTAGTCTTCTATGAAGATGCTTTGTCTATCAGATGGATAAATGAATTTAGCTGACTTAATTTCTGTAGGAAGTGTGCTGAGATGATATTAAGGTTTCAAAAGATGGCCAGAACAGCCGCTTGCAATTCACATACGCCAATTTTCTGAGTCCTGATCTGGACAATGGTGTTGCTATGAAGCCCTTAGATATGCTTCCACTTTCAAACTCTCTCCTACTGGATGCGTAAATATCTTCCTCATGGTCATATCCAATGATGGTTTTTATAATGCGAAGGATTGAAATAGATTGCAGGCTTCTCTGGTCTAGCAGTGGTGATTTTGTTTGTTTGATAGACAAGTATTAATGATTGTATATGTTGCTGTTGTCCTTCTAGATGCTAGTTGCTGATGTGTAATATTATCCAAGTAAAACGGCTTGAAACAGAAGTGGGCGGATTGTGTCTTTAGTAGAAATCCCCAACAATGCCAACTGCTTGTGGCTGACTGGCTGTGGGGTTGAGTTTATTGACAGGGAGGAGTATCAATATTTGTTGCATTTCGTTCAGACATGGGTGATGGAAATTAGGAATGGCTTGCTGCTTATGCTGAACTTACTCACAAAGGACTCTGATTCACTTATGGTTCAGGTAAATCCTTCTTGTTAATGGCAAATACGTCTGAATATATCCGCTACAGTTTGCCTGGAAAAAAATGGCAAACATCTGTATAATTGAGATGGTTTGAATTACCTGCACCTAGAAGGAGTTTCAGTAACAAGAAATGATCCCCTGTTCCGAAGCGAAGAACGTAAAACACACTTAGGGATGGCAATGGCAGCAGAGAGCTACACACGAGTCGATTCAAAATTGAAAATGCTGCCTATGTGCTAGAACGATCATATCAAGCGTGACAACAACAGCGAGCTACATGCATCCACCATGATTTCCCTTTAGCCAATGCAAAATGTAAATTCGTCTGGAACAATGGATAGTCAAGTGTAGTATGATACTTCATCTATGGTAATAGTATAGTAGCAAATACGTCTGAATATATCCCTAGACATATGTTGATAGCTCCTGCCAAATAAGGCTCTCCCTCTAAACTTGTCCGCCATCCTTAATACTTTACTTTACTAGTATGTACACAGCAGCAGCCAAACCTCTGCCGTTGTTCCATGCACATCATCATTGGCATTGCTAATTTGCCCAAAAACTGTCTTGCACTCTCCTCCTTTACAAGCCAGGCTGTAAGTAATCGGGGTCATTCAATGTGAGCACTAGGAGCAACAAGTGAGCAGAGCATCAGAGCTTTCCCGCACAACAGTCTCTCTCACTGCGTCGTAGAACTCGAACCACGAGCAGGCAGAATCAGGGACATCCTTCTCGTCCTCGGCGTGCCACAACAAGAATGTCGGGTTGACCCGAGCAGGACTAGCAGCAACCAAATCGGCAATGGAAACACCAGCGGACTTGAGCGATTGTGGGAAATTGAACGCCAAGTTATCAACCTTGTGCTCGTAAATCTTGCCATTCCTGTCCAATTTGTAGGTAGAAGTCCCCTGGAATTCACCCTTGGCCTCCCATGGAACCCGAGGAATCCCCTTCACGTTCCACCGTATCAATATCACATTATCCGAAGGCTGCCAAATCCTGTAAACCTCCACAGCTATGTCCTTGAACAGAAGCTTGCCGTGGAACCTCAACGACCAGAATAGCAGCTTGTAGTTGCTGATTCCCGCGAAAACGTTGGTTGGGTCGCGAAACGTTATATCGTCCCTGCCAATTGTCAGATTGAAACATTGAGAAGAAGAAGGATTGATTTCAAAGACTACTATTATTTTATTGTTGTTACAGAGGCTGGAATGGGAATGGCAAAATGGAAGGGAGGGGGTGAGAGAAGAATCCATATGAACCTGTAGATATCGTAGTTGAGGTCTCTGATGAAGAGGGAAGGCATGTCCTCTCGCAGAGTCCGGACGGCCAACCCCAAGTTGACGTAGAAATCATTGTTGCGGTGGTTGAGATTGGTGGCGGGAGGAGGCGAGCTGTTAAGCAGAGGAGGTGAAGGAGATGCGCTGGAACCCGCCGGCTCCGCCGCTGCGGTGGCGGTGGCAGCGAAGGACGACAGATAACTCGACGACTGAAGTTGAAAGCTGGTTGATGGCTTCTCCTTGGGATTGTTATTGGCAGTAAGGAGAGGGGGCGAGAAATTGGGGAGTAGAAATGCCATTGAACATCAGCTAATGGAAGAAGAGCTTCGAGGAGCCAAGATCCGGAGAAGAATGGAGTTCAGAGGGGATACGATGCGAGTGGCGGCAGCAAGCTAACACATGGTGGTGCGGAGTCCGCTCATTCTAGTCATTAAAGTAAAATGATCGACTGGTCTACAAGATGGCCAACACCACCTTTCGCAAATTTGTCATACTCTGCCTTTTCTATCGTCCAGGCAAATGAAGGGAATAACGAATATTACCTTCCTATCGTCCATTCAAATTCAAGACCACATCTGTTCGAGAAACCAAACCATGCCCACATCAGACTAACGATTACAGGGTTCCTCGCCACAAGCCACTAGTATTTTCCATTCATTCTGATAGATAAGAGCATTGGAACGTATTTACATTCATTTCACACATTGCAGCACACCCTTCAAAAGGAAGTTCCATTTCCTGAATAGCTTTGGGACCGGACAGATCTTGTTACAACATGTATACAAATTTAAAGGATACTTACTATTGATTCGTATCAGGTCACAAAGAAGGGAATTTGCTTATAATATACTCTACTAAGGAGACATTCCATTTTCATTGGAGGCAACAGGCATCCACATAAAGCATATGCCGAGTATCAGCCAGGGTCTCCATTCTCAGAAAAAACAATTGGCTACATAACAGCAACAAGCTTGACACGGACAGTAGTTGTTTGCAGGCAAATGTATCCTGGGGAACGGTCTCGGTGAGCTAGGAAATAGAATAATAGATCCGAATCACTGACGCAAGTCTGTGCAAGAATCAACATCGCTGAGCTATTCTACACCTGAAGACCTTAACAGGTCAGCAAGACTCCACGGCGTACAAATTTCATTGCCTCTGCCAAAATACTTGAGAATAATGCAACTCCAACTGCATCTTATGCTCTCGGTAAGATGAGACGATTCAGTGCCCGAAGAAAGAAAAAAAAAAAAAAAACTGAAACCATCTCTTTAGCAGGTCACTATAAAAGACTTGATACCAGCAAAACAGAGATGAGAAGCAAAAGAATGTGGGAACATCTGAATGCATAACCACCATGAATAAAGGAGACCATGCCAGAATCTCAGCAACCATTTCAATATCGGCAACGTACAGCACTAACGCACTACTGACAAAAAGCGCATCAGAGACTCTAATTTGTTGCCTACCTTCCCTCCCACACGAAATAATTTCAGATATTAGAATAGCAAAAGAAAGGCAAAATTAGTCATTAGAGAAATGTAGGAACCATCTGAATGCATGAAGCCCAACAAAACAGTGGCAACCTGCCAGAATCTAGGCACCCATTATTCCTATTGGCAACGTACAGCACTGAATTACTACGAATTGAAAGTAGTCCAGAGACTCTAAATTGTTGCCTAATACCCACTATTATTTCACGAAACAAAACCGCATCCAAAGCAAGAATTAGATATTTTACAAGGCTCAGCATATAGAAATTAGATTTGCATCAACAAGCTCAAGATTTATGACCGAGCTCTCAAAGTTTGATGGTAAAATTTCAGTCATCACTGCCCTTTCTTTCAAACAATCATTAGATAATGTTCCTGATGAAGAATACGAATGAATGGAAGCGAAATGATTTTGAAAACGAAATCAAATGAGAAGATATTCAAAAACGGCCTCAGAAGCTAAGAAACATCATGAACAAAGATTTTTCTTCTCAGATGGTACGGACAATAGCTAGAACGCATCACCGGCCATTGATCCACAGTAATAAAACACAAATCTTTAATTGATCAATTCAGCAAGACCATCAGGACGACGACGAAAATAAGAGAAGCAGGCACGATAAGTTATTCGTAAGGAACACGGTAGCTGCCCGCAAATTGTGGTTTCTCTCAACAAGGAATGAATTCTGCACAGCGGCTGATGCTGGTTAAATAGAGCGGAGTACAAATGATCTGCTGCTGCAGGAAGAAGGGAAAAAACCCTAATCATCCACCCGATCCCAGCCCAGGCTTGGCGCGACCGAATCCCCGCCACAACAAAATTCTTCCCCGGCAACTGGATCTGCGCCTACTCTCCCACGTTCAAGGCATATGGGCTGCCCTAAATGCCCAAAATCAAGAATAGCGGCCCACATATGAAGCCCAACAACCGCAAAAAGCTCTGTGGCACTAATGATCTGGTCTGATATCATTATTCATGCATATGGATGACAGCAATTCTCCTCCAATTTATATAGGGGATTACTAATTGTCGCCCTACCTTTATAATCGTCCTAAACTAAATTTACATTTCAATCCTTTTTCATTGTTAGAATAAAAATAATAATAATTTACCACTATCACATCCACCCGTCGCCACCACTACCACTGGCTACCTCCGACCGCTACCACCCTCCATGACCACCACGTGCATCATCTCCTTATCATTGCTTCTAATCAATAAAGAGTAAAATCTTGGGTTTTTAAAGCTCTCCACCGAAGCAGAAAACTAATAAGGAGATCAATTCGTGAAAGCAACATGAATAGCGGCGTCCGCCATCTGAAATGAAGTCAATTGAGGAAGGTAGGTCTGTCGCCAGTAAGATGTACGGAGGTTGAACGGCGACAGGACATAGGAGGGATTGCGGCCCCGAGAGGAGTCTGATCATGACATGACAGGTGGTTAGCGTAGACGGGAAGGAGGGACGCCGCCGCTCTCGGCGGAGATGAAACACAATTAGGGCTATGTGTTTATTGATTTTTGTTTGGTTTAGTAAGGTTAATTTTGTAATTCTATAATTTAAATAAGGACGATAATAATAAAATTAGGGCGATGTTTAGCCATTCAGTTTATATATTGCACCAACAACGCAGAATGATACTTAATCGGATCTCTTCTTTATGAAACCGGATCAATGGAACAATTCACTGCTCTCACTGAAAGTTTTGGGAATTCTTTCGGACTAATAAGTCAAACCGGTTTTGGATTGGGTTCAAGGTCACTTAGAAGTTTTTAAAACTTAATATATTATCTTTGAATATTCATATGAGTAGATGGGTTCAATCGTTACCGACACCCAAATATTGAGATATTCATCAATTTTAATATACTAAGATGAAAATTCAATTGTCACGACATTTTCATTTATGTTGAAGTTTTGTTGGAAAATGTTGTAATTTTAGTGGATTCTTAGAATACACTAAAATGGGAGAGGAATTTTGGAAATTTGGTTGAATCAGACTAACCAAGTCAAATCGGTTTTGGGTTGAACTCACCAAGCGGTTTGGGATTAGACCGACCAAATCAAATATTCTAAATCCATAAAGGGACACGTCCATTTGATTTAGTGGTAGTTACATTTTCATGAATAAGAAGGATCTTATGGATTGGTAGTTGAAATTTTGCACAGTTTGTACTCTAATAATTAAGTGGCCGAAATGTCACTATATATTGATTAGCTGAAACGGTTGCATGAAGCAATGTCATTTTGAATTTCAACCCCATTGTAAATATGTGCTCCACGTGATGCCTTTACCATGCATGGACTAATTTCTTCCAATTTTGTGATTCAATGCAATTCTTCATGCAGGTGGTTATATGATGGTGATGGTAATGGTAACGTTTGGAATTGGCAGTTACCTGCCAAAACCACTAATGAAGCGATGCAATGCATAGATATAGTGTTTTTCATTCACTATAAGTATAAGGCATATGGAGAACAGCACAAACACACCAAAATTCATTCTACCTATGAAACTTCTGGGGTCGTTTGGATGAAGGTTTTATTAAATGAGAGATTTAAACACAAATAACTCATTTAAAAACCCAGAAAATTAAAACACGAAAATTGGGTTCGGCCACCCGAGGGTGGACCCCAGGAGAATACTTCTCCAAATTCATGGAGTAACGTGAGGAGGGACTGGAGTGACTCTCGCGGCCAGGCGGTCGATATGCGAACTGTGTGCTAATCAACGAGTGAGAACTCCTCCTCGTCATCAACAGGAACTGGGCGGGCAACTTTCTCTCGGACGTCGTTCGCGACGATCGCCTTTTTCTCATGGGACAGAGCGCAACATTGTCGTGCTAGAGCTTGGTCCCATTGCACACACCCAACACCGGCTTTAGTGGGGAATTTAAGACGGAGATGGAAAGTTGAGGGGATAGCCCGAAGTTGATGGAGAAAAGGTCGACCGAGAATACAATTGTACGCCGAAGGACAATCAACTACATGAAAGTTGACGATGGTTTCAGCGGTATGTTCACCACTCCCAATCTGAACACGAAGTGGTAGGGTCCCGATCACGGGCACCTGGGATCTGGAGAACCCCGTCAGGCATATCTCTGTCGGTCGACACTATTCAGGGTGGTATCCCAGGATAGGTAGTCAGGGTAGAAGAGTAGGTCCGCCGAGCTTCCCCCATCCTCCAAGATTCTCTTGACCTCGTAATCGGCTATTATTGTCTTTATTACCAATGGGTGATCGTGTGAGTGCGCAACTCCTTCTAAATCATGGGAGTCAAATGGGATTGAAGGAGTGGCTGTTGTTGCTGAGGTGGAGCCCACCATGGCTTGGGCGTTCGTCGTAGATTTAGCTTGTATACCCTCGAGGACGGCTCCCCCATGAATGACATCGACGACCCCTCGAACAACGGTGCTCTAAAGAGTTTTGCCTCGATCGGTGGGCGGGAGCTTTCGGGAGCATTTTGTCGAGCCTTCAACGTATTTCTTGAGATGTCGTTCTTGAAAAAGATCTTCTATGGAATTCTTTAGAGTCCAACGACGCCCTATATCGTGACCATAACCTCGGTGGAAATCACAATACTTGTTCTTCCCTTTTCGTGGTTCCTTGGTTATTGGAGCTGGCCACATGATCGAGATTTTCTTATCTTGGATGATTTACAAAATGGTTTTGAATGGTTCCGTGAGGGGAGTCAAAGGACGTTATGATTTGGGTTCAACTCCTTACTGACGGGCATCTCGATGACCTCCCTTATCTGAGGGTGGCGGCGAACGACCACATGGGAGCTCACGAGCTCGGGGTGAGTCTGCCCTTCTTGGAGGTGAGGAATCGCGCTTTGATAACACGAAATTTGCACATGTTTTATCCCTCATTTCTTGATTGTTTAGCTTGGTATTTATCATACTTTGTCCTATTTTACGCTAGGTTGTGTTCCTTTATCACATTTCAG